CGAATTTCAATTCACTCCCTTCATCCCACAAGGCACTGCATTGAAGAGGTACCAGAATTGGTGGATAACAAATATGGAGATGCACTTAGCCATTCCCCCTCAGGATCTATTAGTGGGACTGGACTTGCCTTCTCAAGCCAAGCCTAAGGGGATTGGGCTCATCACTCCTTCTACTACTCCTGCTATCCTAGCTCCTACTCTTGCTGCCATAGAGACTCCTATTGTTGCCTCCCTTCCTCCTCCTAGAGTCACCAGGGCTGCTTCGAAGAGAGGCGTGCACTCTCATATTTCCTTTCTCTTCTCTTTATAATGCCTTGCTCATTTACCTATAACTTCTTTTGATGCAAGAGCTTCACAAGTAGACTCTCCTTAAAGGGCTCAAGCCCTAAACATTCTTAAAGATAAGCAGCAACAGAAACAGAAGTAAATGAAACTTGTGCTTGATCCTGAAGATGAGGAAGTACCTGAAGTTTCTATAGAATAAGAACAAGAAACACCACTTACGAGGAGGAAGAAAATAACAATCTCTCCCTCTGACTTCATTGATGACCCTACTCATCAAGCAGCTGCCAAGGCAGTAGAGAGAGAGCAATCCAAGGAATTGCTGGTTTTTCAGAGATCTGAGAAAATGGGGCAGCAACAGATATTAAGGAATGAAGCTGCTGCTGCTGATACACTTCAAAAGGAAGCTGCAATGAGGCAACAAACTGGTGAACATTATACTCTTTGCAGTTCTCCAACCATTGCCACCACCACTTTCAAGGCTGGTAATTTCCTTTAGTTTCTCTAGTAATTTTCTTTTCCAAGTTTTCAGTAATAAAACTTACCATTGCTTCTTATTTTTTGACTTGCAGCAACAGTTACTCCACCTCCTCCTCCTTTGATAACGGCTTCTTCTGCCTTGTCTGAAATTGAAAGGCCATTTGAGGCAGCCTTAAAAAGGAGGAAGAAGATCAACACTAAACTGCCCTTAAGTGTAGAGCCCATCCAGGCAATACTTCCACTTCCCAACTCTACACTTTCCATACCTTTTTTGAGGCAGGGCATTCCTATTTCTTTATGTCTGGGCTTAACTCCATATCTACCTCATCTAACCTTTACCTCAGCCTAGTTTACTCTCCCCACAGTCCTGGCTGCTCCTTTATTACCTGAGAAGGCCCTAGTTGTCATCTCATCAGTAATAGCTAGTATTCCTAGAGAAAATACTGGTAGCTTACTAATTTCTTATCCACCACCATCATCCAGCTTCAATCCCTCTTCCCTTGATCTGCTGGTGGCCAAGACTATAGACACTGCCAGGGACACTTCAATCTCTTCTCCTATCCCTATGCAACCATTTCTTTCAGACTTCTCTGCACCTTCAATGTCAGTGGAAGAGATGGACATTTTTGAAGCCCGGCTAGCTAGCCTTTTTGACACATCTTCAACCACTCCAGTAACCAGCAGTGAAGCTAAGCCATTGGCCTTTGCTGACTCCCTCTTGGAAATTTTTGAGAGCTCATCAACCATCAATAGAGCTTCTTTGCCTCCATTGGACTTAGGTACTTGTTTGGAATTGCTAACATCATTTTCAAGGATCCCATTTGAAGCCTTACAAAGACCTATACTTAAGAATGGTTTCCTCCAATGCTGCAAAGTCATTAAGCAATCCAATATGACCATTTCAAGCCACTTATCCCATGCAGCAGCAGCTACCATAGACTTTTATGTCAATATCTGCCATATTGCTAAAGCTACAAAAGAGAAGCTATTGAAAGACAAGAAATTTGTTTCCCATATACATACTGAGGTATCTGAATTGAAGGGACAATATTCCTCTACTTCTCAATTTCGCACTCAGCTCTTGAAGAAAAAGGCCCAATTAGAAGAGGAGTTAGCAGTAGTTAATCTAGCCTTGGACTGAACTGCTACAAAGCTGCAGATTACCAATCAAGGGTTGGCTAACCATAGGCAAGACATGGCTATAGCCATTTAGTTTTTCCCATCCTTTCGAAGAAGAGAATCAATAATAAGGGAACAACTGAAGCATTGTACTGATTTTTGGGCCAATCTATGGCTGCATGTACTTAACTCTTTATGAAATGAAATCCTTATTTATTATTTGAGTGTTTCCATGCTTATTTTGTTTAGCATTTCTCACACTTCTTGTGTTTCCCACACAATTGGATAATAAGGCTTCAAATACCTGTCCTTGATTTTCTTGGGATGTACATAACCATTTAGATTTCTCAGATGGTATGCTCCTCCAAGCAAAACTCTATGGACTTGATATGGTCCTTCCCAATTTGGTGACCACTTACCAAATTTATGGCTTTTAATTCCTATTGGAAGTATTGTTTTCCACACCAAATCACCTTCATCAAAGCTAATATGCTTAACCTTCTTATTATAGCTTTTGGCTGCCTTTGTCTTTTGGAAGAGAATATTATTTAATGCCAGAATTCTAACTTCATCTATATTCTCTAATTCTAAGAACATGCTCTGATGATATTGCTTAAAAGTTAACTAGTCTTGGCATTTCACCCTCAAGGACCTAATGTTAATCTCCACAAGCAACACTGCATCATGGCAATGTACCAAGGCATAAGGAGTGACTCCAATACTTGATCTTTGAAAAGTCCTATAAGCCCACAATACATCCAATAATAAGTTATGCCATTCTTTAGGATTGTCTTCCACAACTCTTTGTATTCCTTTTTTCAAGGACTTGTTGGATGATTCTACCTAACCATTTGCTTGTACATAATAAGAGGTGGAATTAATAAGACTAATTCCAAATTCTGCAGTGAAAGATTTTACATCTTTCCATCAAATACAATCCCATTATCTATAGTAATGGTCTGTGGGATGCGAAACCTATGAATCAGATTTTTAATAAATCCAATAACTTTAGTTTGATCCACAGCCTTATATGGTTTAGCTTCAACCCACTTAATAGAGTAATATGTGGCCACTAAGATGAACTTCAGCCATGGCTATCAATGCCTCCTTTGGCCCTAAACATTCCAATAACAACCCATCTGCTCCCCTTTTATAAAAAGCATTACCATACACTTTGTATTGCATAGATTGTAATTTGATCTTTCTACTAGCTTTCGAAGATGGGCCAATTAAGTACTACATGATTGGATGCCTCCAATCTTGATCTTGTAAGTCATTATGATTGAGTTCCAACACAACATTTATTTTAGCTAAAGGTGGTATTAATTTTTGAAATGTTATTTGACTTATATTCAATTGAGTGTCATCCCTCCTTTTGAAATTCGAAGCCTTATGAGCTACACCATTGGCTTTGTTATTCATGAACCTTGGGATATAAGTCACATTTGCTATCTGAAACTAAGAAAGCAAATGTAATGCAACAACATAATATGGTAACATGCTTGCACTTTGATATTTGAAAATTCCTTTCACTTGGTTGGCTACCAATTGAGAATCTCTAAATATATTAACTGCATGAGTTTGTAATCCAATAAGTATTTCCAGTCCCATTATTAAAGCTTCATATTCAGCTTGATTATTGGAACAAATAATTTCATCCACTCTGAAACCATGTGTGGTTTTTACCCCCTGTGGTGATTTAATTATAACACCAATTCCAACCAAACCATTGATTTTTTATTCATCGAACCACATCTGCCATGGCTCAACATTGATCATACCAAGGTCTATTATTTCTTGGCTTTCTGTTTGACATGGATGATCTGCCAAGAAGTTAGCCAAAACTTATCCTTTCACTGCCTTTTGGGGGACATATTCTAGATAACATATACTTAACCAATGATGTGGTTGCAATTACCAAGACAACAGTAGACAAAAGATAATATCTTAATTTCATTGCTACAAAGTACAATACAATGCACAGTTTTTCTACAGCTGAGTATTTACATTCATAAGAATTTAAAAACCTACTAAGGTAATAAACTGCTTGCTCCTTGCCTTCTTCATTGTCCTGGATTAGGAAAACTCCCAATGAATCTTTTGCTGCAGCAATGTATAACTTCAAGGGCACTACAAGAATTCGCACTTTTGCCGACTAAAAAATTTGGTCGGCAAAAGGCCATTTTTAGTCGGCAAAAGTTATCTGCGACTAATTTTTTTGGTCGCCAATTGAGGGTCGCGGAAAGTAATTCGCGACTAAAAAAATTTTTAGTCGCGAAAAAGTTATATTTGCCGACTAAATTTTTGGTCGCTAAATATATAATTACTGCAACTAATCCATTTAGTAACTAAAACACTTTAGTCGCGAAAAGTCATATTTTCCCGACCAAACATGTTAGTCACCAATTCGCACATTCAACGACCAAATAGTTTGGTCGGCATTTGTCGCCCATTTCCACGACCAACTAATTTGGTCACAAATTGTCACATTCCGCGACCAAAAAATTTGGTTGGCCACACATTCCACGACCAAAAAATTGGTCGGCAATATTCACTACAAAAAAATTACACTTTTGCCGACTAAAAATTTGGTCGGCAAAAGTCCATTTTTAGTCGGCAAAAGTCATTTGCAATCAATTTTTTTGGTCGCCACTTCGGTCGCCAAATGAGGATCGGCAAAAGTAATTACCGACCAAAACTTTTGTTAGTCAGGAAAAAGTTAGATTTGCCGACTAAATTTTTGGTCGCTAAATATATCATTACCACGACTAATTCATTTAGTCGCTAAAACACTTTGGTCACGAAAAGTGATATTTTCCCGACCAAATATGTTTGTCGCCAAAAGCAAAAAATTGGCGACCAACTATTTTCGTCGCCAAAAGTTGAGGAATCGCCAACTAATAATTTAGTTGCCAAAAGGTAAGGAATTGCCGACCAATGATTTTAGTCACAAAAGTGTAGAATTTGGCGACCAATTATTTAGTCGCCAAAACTTTTCTCAACCAAATATTTTGCCACCAAAAGACATTAAACAATCAACGACTAATTAATCTTTTTTTTTTTTTTTGAACAATCAATTTTTGTTTATAAACATTCAATCCAATATTGAACAAAATTCATTCAACCCAACCTAAATATAACATTAAAATTCATCATATTTTCCTGCTCAATCCCAAACTTTACAATCATTCCATTCAAAACATTAATTGAGACAAGTTTTAAACATCCATCCATTGAAAACCAGTAAGTAATTGAACAAAAATTAAAAGGAAAATCAATGAAGGAATCCAAAAATTTTTCTACAACAGGAAGGAATATATATGGTTTTGAAGCATCGGCCTTGTGCTTGATCGTTTTTGGAAGTCACCTACAAATAAAATAAGAGAAGTTAGAATCTAGAAAAATATCCAAAATGAAGTATTCTCATAAAAAAATATTAACCATATGGCAAAAAATTTATATGATTATATTACAAACATTTGATGATGACTATACCACAATTAAGTATTGTCATACCTGAACAATGAGACAAAGCAACTCAGCAAGTCTTGCCAAGGTAATCCTTCAGTAATACTTTGAGACAACAAGGATGTTCTGCAGGAAACAATAATGTCTTGTAGATAAACCATTGCAGCATATAATTGAAATATATAATTGAACATGAGTGAAAGATTACATGTTCTATTACTCTCTGTCTCAAATCTTCAGCTGCTCTGTTACCTAAAGAACCACCAAGCATGTTGTTTTCATTCTCAAATTCATCCTTGAATGTATTCCATGAAGTCATCCACTGAATAACCTCCATTGTAACAAGCTGTTTCAAGAGCAACCTATGACAGAACAGAAGGGCAAGCATCCAAGAGGGTTAACAGAACAAAACTATGCTCTCTGTTTTTTTTTTTTTTAGGTCACTTACTATTGGTTTCAGATTAATTGGATAGACATACCTAAAAAGCTATATCCACTCACTTCCAATTTTCACTTGGAGCCTCCTATAGCTAGCAAAAGCATGAAGCATAAAAAGTTATATCCACTCACAAACTTAACTTAACAAGATATCATAACATTAAAAACAAAACTTAACTTACATCACATGTGCCTAAAGAATCTTATGGTTATGGTCTCTTTTTATATAAATTATTGCTTATTACCAATCATGATGCTCCATATAACCATCTAATCATTATTTATGCACAACAAATGAAAGTGAATTTACATAAAAGAAAAAAATATTCACTGTAATTTCCATCAACTAGGAATATGGCTATTCATGACATGAGTGATACTAAGCAGGAAAACAGAATTTACATGTGGCTTCCTAATCAGCTCCTTGAGAACAGAATGAAGTGTTAACCAGAGTTCTTTGAAGAGGACAGCAATTAGGGCAGGTGCTACCAATTTGGACAGTATGTGTATTTTTAAAAATAAGCCATCCATTTTTTATTTTGTTTTATGAAAAATAAGACAAATTGAGCAAATTACGTTTATTGAATCGATTTAATTTTTTTATGGAATATATAAATGAAGAATCCTACAAAATAAACGTTCGAATTATCAAAATAGAACCCGTAATAAATTTCACGAGCCTAAATAATATCCTCCAATTCATATATAAACTAGAGGCAATTCAAATCCTATATATAAAATAAATGCACAGCATGGCCCTTCACCATATTGTTCCCTTAATGCTGTGGACACTGAACATTGATTTGTTTGGTGAGATAACCAACATTACACACAACTTAAAACAATATCATCACTTTACTATTATAACCTCCAACAAAGACATAACACCTAATAAAAGTAGGAAAAAAGAAGTGGAAATAAAAAGAAAGCTAAAGCTGAAATGAACAAATTTGAATCATCACAGTTAATTAGGTGATTACCTTCAAATTCAAAAACACATTGAAAACATAATGAGAAACATATATAGTTTTCAAGATCTTGTTTCTCATTATGTTTTCAATGTGTTCTTCTCAACAATATATGTTTACTACCACCTAATTAACTGTGATGATTCGTTACTCTGTCCTTTTACATTACTCTGTCCTTTTAGTTCCTTCTCAAACAATATATTGCATAGTTACCAACAAAAAACAAGCCCTAATATGTTACTCTGTCCTTTTAGTTCCTTCTCAACAATATATTGCATATTTACCAACAAAAAACAAGTGGACAACAACCCAAGCTCATTTGTCTTCCAGCAACCAGTAAACAAAACCATGAAAGGACAAGCTGTACCTTCACCGTTGTCATTGGCTGATATCACAATGAAGATGTATTTGAAGAGAGCCATGAGAGTGAATGTCCAGAAAATAAAGGAAGGCACCCCATAAATCTTTTCATCATCCTCATGAAGGCTCAGCTTCCCTGAGAAGGTGGTCTTGTAAACATACAGAGGGAAGGTATACCTATATATAAAGAGTGACAGACAAGGGGACAGAGCATTTCAAGAATGTCAAATTGTAATAAATGAAATTCTTCTTATGTTTTTCCTTTTTTTTTTTCCCCCAAGTGAATTTCTCATGTCCAAATTTATGGTTTAAAAAAAATCCCTCACTACAAGATAGTTTTTAATTCAGACAACCCAAAATTATAGAACGAAACCAATTCAGACAACCCAAAATAGTTTTTAATTCAACATCAACAGAAAGAACTTAATTCAGACAACCCTAAAATATGTTATATGTGCCATTAATGTGAAAACTCAATTAAAAATTACACTCTTTAGTCCCTCAAATATACCATATATCACTTTAAAATATACCATATATGCTGATGCTTTACTATTAAGAACATAAATTTAGGAAGAGTTGGCCATGTTTTGAAGGGAGTGAACACTGGAAATTCAAGAAAATTCTTGCTATACTTTTGGGACTACAGTTGGGTATTAGAATTACGCAGATTGTGAATAAAGTAGGGATTTTATGACTGTTTGGGTACTGTGTTCCATACATGTGGACAGTAGCTAGGCTGAGTTTTTAGTTTTTTTGGTATTAGGCTAAGACGTTTGAGGAGAGTAGGATTTAGGCTTACCAAATAGTATTTTAAGTGTAGGAGGAGGTTAACAATGTATAATTTTAAGTTCAGAAGGACCTGATATTGTATAAATTAAAAGAAAAATGAAAAGAAGTAGAAGAAGAAGATAAGCATCGCATTCAAATTCCCCAAGGCATCAAGCCTGGGGATCAAAGTATAGCACACAGTTTGCCTCTCCATATCAAACTACAATTAATTTTTTTTTTTTAATTGTACTCTAAAGACGTTACCAAATTCCACTGCTATCCAATATAATAGGCACATGGGAATATGGAGAGACATGAAGTCCACTGCTATGTGTTATAAAAAGAACAGGTCAACTCAATAAAGCATGATGATTCGTGATTGCAATTTGATATTTTTTGTTGCAATTTGTAATTTAATATTTTCAATTAACAGAGATCCATTGTCCATATGATAAACAAAATCGTAAGACATTGCGCTATATTGGTTGCCATCACTTAAATCAGTCACTATCCAATAACTCACACCAATAGAATTCTTAAATATATGTAACACAGATTATTTTAGGCCTTCCAGTTTGAGAAATCCACCAAGTGGATTACAGAGCTATTGTGAAATCTACCTAATCAGACTAGTAGGATCTAGGAAAATTCAAGTAAAAAATTATAGTTTTCCCATGATCCATGTTTGTCACTACAACCAAACCCATCAATCCTTCAAACAACTCTCCAAACTATATGACTCTTAGTAACTTTTAAGCCATCAAATTAACCGTAGCATGTTAAGGAACAATTAAAACTAATTCAAATTCCTATAATGAAGGATACAGTAACAAGAGTTGGGAAACAGAGTCCAAATTCCTATAATGAAGGATACAGTAACAATGATATGACAGTTAAGTATACAACTTAATCATTTATGTATATCCTTAATTCCTTAAAAAAATGTCAAACGAAAAGAATCTCAAATTCAGAAAAGTATAGTTCTGCTAACATGTTATAGTTCTCCTGATGCATAAAATAATAAGAACACCATCAAATGTGCATACCGATATATCTTCGTTTGGAGCAAAACTGAGACAACGAACATGTCTTGATCACCATTCACCTGTACAAGGGCAACAACTAGAAGTTCATCTAAATATTCCAAGCAGAAATCTAAACAAGAAATATACTTATTTAAGATACACTCTCATACAATTATAAGTTCTCTGTCCCACAAACAGCATATTGCATTCTCAGAAACTGAATTTAGCTTTGGAGTAGATAATGAGAGACCCCTAATTGAAGTTTCCTTCAAAAGGGGACAGTTCTGGTAGGGACCTATAATTTCAGAAAAGCAGCGTTCAGGTGGATATGCACCAAATCAATTATGTGATGCAATACTGAAAATGAAAATTCTGCAGTACTAGTTCCATTATTTGCTTTGATCATTGAATTAGGGAGGACACTTGTCCTAAATTTCCTTATTTTTCTCATTGAATATTGGGAACAATCTTGCACAAGGCTGAATGACTGCAAAACTGATTCAACTTGAGATTAAAACAGTTATTCTTATCTATTTAGGGCTATACAGAGTCTTTCATTTATGTCTGCTACAGGTGCATTTGGATGAAAAATGCCTAATGAATGAACAAATTCTCCTAACCCTATTGCATTTCACATCAAACAAATCAAATATCTGCATAAACAAAATCGAATCAAAAAATGGTTTTTTTGGGATCAATAAGCACACAATCACATGAAATCAATTCTTAGAAGCCAAATCGTCTATATAACTTGTAAGGGTATATATAAAGTATAGTATAAAAAAAAAAAAAACCATTTTTTACTTTTCAAATTCTTGACCAGGGAGATAAAGTGGTTGATGCATCACATGATAAGACCACAACACCAAAAGACATGATAACAAACTGTGAACATCACAAGAATCATGTAGTTTCAAATCTTATTTCAAACACAGCATATAGATTCAATTTCCATGACACAACCAAAACACGCTATTCATACAATCCATTTGAAGCTAAATTTGATATCTGGTGCAAATAAGCCTTTCATGTGTATATAGTGACTGGAAAACACATTGCCATCACTAATATTACAATTCTAAGGCCTAGTAAACATCTTTCTTCCCTATGATCGAAAATCTCTACATTACGAAGTCTTTGAATTTCACAAAGGGATTGAAAAGTCTGAGATTAATATCATCTGATTTCAGTTTCTATCATATGATTAAACTTCACAACCTATCATAAACATGCAACCCTAAAAGAAATACAAAAACTACAAAAGAGCAGTAACCAGCTTTATGATAGATATAACAATTTCAAAGAACGTGCTTATAATGCATAACAGCTTTTCACCTTGAACATGACACAGATACATATGCAGATTGGAAGTGCAACAAAAGGTAAGACTCTGCAAAATGATAAAAGCTGTGAGGCTAGGAAAGTATGCAGAAGGGAATTAGAAGCAAAAGAAAATCAAAAAAATTCAGATACCTGACTGATATCATCATCACTGAAACATCTCATCTAACTTTTGCCTATAGAGAGCCAAACTCTGCATTTTGGGAAAGGGGGAAAAAGATTAGTTGCCCAAATTATTAGTAATAGAGAAGAAACGAAAGATGTATAGCACTCTCTCTCTCTCTCTCTCTCTCTCTTGTCCTTTTTGGTTGCACATAATTTGAAGTTTATCATCTGATGGAACTAGAAGTTCAACTACCTAAACCCCCCTCCCAAAAAAAAGGCAACATTGTCAAGAATAAATATTCATTACTTCGTACCTAAGCCTTCCTTTTTTAACTATAGAATGTGTGCCAGGTTCCAACCAGCGCATCAGAAAACAGTTGGATTCTCAGAGAAAGGCCATTTGATGAGGCAAATTTAGGCCCCTTTAATATAATGTATATTGACATTTTCACAACCAGAAAACAAGGTAAAGAGTTTTTATCACCTTCACTCAATAATTGAGAAGCACATCTTCCACTACATATCTATAAATATTCAAAGCCACTGCTGCATTGTTATTTCTTCATGAAGATTCTCCACCAACAAATGGTTTTTTTTATACTATACCTCCATTTAACCAGATAACAAGAGGCTTGGAAGCCGAATTTGAGTCTGTTTCAAGAACCAGAGCTTTCTGTTTCTTGGCATCAACGGTCACATACCCAGAGAATTGCTGGTAACTGACTGCAGAGCCATACAGTTGAAGCACATCTTAGATAAATAACCATCTATCAACTGTAGAGTCACAGAGTTGAAGCACAATTCAATAGTCATCCCCATTTATACTCATAACTTTCAAGTGAATAGGGAAAAATAACAAGTTCCAGTACTAAGCGAAAATCAATTGAAAGTATCTTCCAAATATAGCCCACAAAGCTTGATTATTCATAAGTTGAAACCCTATGCCAGTCGGCTCTTCATTTTGACTGATTAGAAGAGGATTTAAGTGTTTTGGATCTGAGATCATTTGCATTGAGTTAGAGAGCCATGAATGAGAGTGCAAGGCTGTTCAAAAAAATAAAAATAAAAAAATAAAAGAATGAGAGCACAGGGAAGATGGGTTTGTCTCTGGCCATAGTGGAGACGAACTGAATGGCCATAGGGTCTAAGATCTGTTCGGATTATAAAACTACATCATTGTTGTTCCAAGGATACACAGTCAAATAAAGATATAGTGGAACCATTTCAACCCAATCAATAGAGGAACCGACTGGAATGAGAGAGTCGAAAGAAGAGTCACAAGAAGCGTACCATTTCGCCGCCGAACTAGTCTCGCCGCTGCTAAACCAGTCTCGCCGCTGACTGAAACCCTTCCCCTTCAACCCCAGTCTCTCTTCAAACCCTCTATCTTCTCTCTCTCAGATTAAGGTTTGCTCACTGTTTTGAAATAGTGTTGTGAAATTAAGGGCTCTACAAACCTGAAAGGAAATGAAAAAAAATGGGAGGGGAAAAGGCAGAGGGAAAAAATGGGGGAAATTATTTTTGGGCGGGCGGTCCGGTGAGTCAGTGAAAATAGGGGGAAATTAGTTTTATTTTTATTTTAATGATTTTTTTTTAATTTGATATAAGTAGGGGTAATATTTTAATGAAAAATATTTTTTGTTAAAATAAAGTTAATTTTTTATGGTCGATGAAAAATATTTTTTGTGACCCATTTTTTTTTTGTTACTAAAAATCAAGAGCTAATTTTTTTAGTGGCAGAGGAAAAGAAGCCGCAGTAGTGGTGAAGGTGGTGGATAAAAGGTGAGGCGGTGGTGGTGGTGGTGGTGGTGATGATGGCGAAGGAGATTAGTGGTGAAGTTGTGGTAATGGTAGAGGAGATGGAGTGGCGGTGGTGGAGGAAAGGTAATAGTAGTAGAAATAGTAGTAGTAGTGGTAGCAGTGGTGGTAGTGGTAGTGGTAGTGGTAGTGGAGTGGTAGCGATGGTGGTAGTAATGGTAATCGTAGAGATGGAGTGGCAACAGTGGTAATAATGGTGGTAGTGGAATGACATTTGCAGTAGAGGTAGAGGAGATGGGTGGTGAGAGAGAGATGAGTGAGAGACAGATAGAGAAGAGAGATAGAGAGAGAGAGAGAGAGAGAGAGAGAGAGAGAGAGAAAATGTTCGCTAAAAGTGCATTTTCTTATAGTGGAGAGCTCGGTAAATAGAGAAGAGGGGAGGGAGAGAGTGAGCAAGATGAACACAATAGGGGAGACAGACAGACACAGAGAGAAAAAGAAAGAACGAAGAGTGATGAGTAAGAGAGAGACAGACAGACACAGAGAGAGAAAGAAAGAGAGAAGAGTGATGGGTGAGAGAGAGAAAGAGATAAATTTTTGTATATATATAGAGAGAAAGAGAGAGAAAGAGATAGAGAGACAGATAGAAAAAGAGCGAGAAATAAGAGATGAGCGAGAGATAGACAAAGAGTGAGAGAGAAAGAGAGCAAAAATAGATGATCGGGAGAAAGACAAAGAAAAAGAGAGAGATAGAGAGAGAAGAAAGACGAGCGAGAGAGACAAAGACAGAGATAGAGAGAAGAGAGATGAGCGAGAGAGATAGAGAAAGAAGAGAGATAGAGAGAAGAGAGATGAGTAAGAGACAAATAGAGAAAGAGACAGAAACAGAGACAAAGACAAATAGATAGAGAAGAGTGATGAGTGAGAGAGAGAAAAAGAAGAGAGAAAGAGAGAGAGACAAAGAGATAAAGAGATAGAGAGTAACAGAAAGAAAAAGAGACAGAGAGAAGAAAGATGAACAAGAGAGATAGAGAGAAGAGAGATGAGCGAGAGAGATAGAAAGAGAGGGATATTTATACCTCAAATTGTTTTTAGGGAGAGTTGAAGATGCTCTAGAAAATGTGGATGGTGAAGGCCCTGGTGGGTGAGACATTATAGAACAAAATTACTTTAGTCAAAGAGAAAACAAAGACAGAGAGAGTCACAGAGTGAGAAAGACAAATATTAGGAGAAGAGAGGTAGAGAGAGGGGCAGAGAGAAGGCAAAATAGAGAGAACATACTTGGGTAATGCTCCAATAGTGGATCGACGGTGGTGCTCGATGGCAGTGATGCTCCTTACCCGACGGCGATGGAAACAAAGCGACAGAGATTCAATATCAAGAGGAGGGCAATCAGCGTGAGAGAGAAAAAGAAAGAGATAGAGAGAGAGAGAGAGAGAGAAAGAGAGTAATGGAATGAGAGAGACAGAGGCGTGAGAGAATCGAAAGAGGTCAGATGCGAGAGAGAGAAAGAGAGTTACAGAGTGAGAGAGAGACGCGTTTAAGCCCTAACTCATTTTAGTGTGTTTGAAATCCCTCCAGAGTTCCTTACCAAATTAATTTAAAAATCCCTCCAAAATGATAATAAATAAAAAATAAAATTATAATAATGATAAAATTAAACATGAACTCAAATTGGGCAGTATGTTCCCACAAAAAAAATTGAGTTTTATTACTGACTAAATGTGTTTTAGTCACCAAAAATATAAATAATAATGATAATAATAATAAAATTAAACATGAACTCAAATTGGGCAGTATGTGTTCCCACGTTTGGTCGCAAAAGATAAAAAATAAATTTTTATTTTTCATTCAACGACTAAATTATTTTAGTTGCCAAAACTATTTATATAGCGACTAAAATATTTTTTAGTCGCTGAATTTACATTTTTGCCGACCAAACTTTTGGTCGCCAAAGATAAAAAGTAAATTTTTTTTTTTATTCAGCGACTAAATTATTTTAGTTGCTAAAACTAGCTATACAGCGACTAAAATATATTTTTAGTCGTTGAAACTACATTTTTGCCAACCAAAATTTTGGTCGCCAAAGATACAACTTAAATTTTTATTTTTCACCCAGCGACTAAATTATTTTAGTTGCCAAAATTATCTATACAGCAACTAAAATATTTTTTAGTCGCTGAAATTAAATTTTTGCCAACCAAAATTTTGGTTGCCAAAGATAAAAAGTGAATTTTTATTTTTCATTCAACGACTAAATTATTTTAGTTGCCAAAATTATCTATGCAGCGACTAAAATATTTTGTAGTCGCTGAAACTACATTTTTGCCGACCAAAATTTTGGTCGCCAAAGATAAAAAGTAAATTTTTATTTTTCTTTCAGCGACTAAATTATTTTAGTTGCCAAAACTATCTATACAGCGACCAAAATATTTTGTAGCGACTAAATTATTTTCGTTGCCAAAACTATATATACAGCGACCAAAATATTTTTTAGTCGCTGAAATTAAATTTTTGCCCACCAAACTTTTGGTCGCCAAACATAAAAAATAAATTTTTATTTTTCATTCAGCGACTAACTTATTTTGGTTGCCAAAACTATCTATACAGGGACTAAAATATTTTTTAGTCGCTGAAATTAAATTTTTGCTGACCAAAATTTTGGTCGCCAAAGATAAAAAGTAAATTTTTATTTTTCTTTCAGCGACTAAATTATTTTAGTTGCCAAAACTATCTATACAGCGACCAAAATATTTTGTAGTCGCTGAAATTAAATTTTTGCCGACCAAAGTTTTGGTTGCCAAATATAAAAAATAAATTTTTATTTTTCATTCAGCGACTAAATTATTTTGGTTGCCAAAACTATCTATACAACGACAAAAATATTTTTTAGTCACTGAAATTACATTTTTCCCGACCAAAATTTTGATCGCCAAAGATAAAAGGTAAATTTTTATTTTTCTTTCAGCGACTAAATTATTTTAGTTGCCAAAACTATCTATACAGCGACCAAAATATTTTTTAGTCGCTGAAATTAAATTTTTGCCAACCAAACTTTTGGTCACCAAAGATAAAAAATAAATTTTTATTTTTCATTCAGTGACTAAATTATTTTAGTTGCCAAAACTATATATACAGCGACCAAAATATTTTTTAGTCGCTGAAATTAAATTTTTGCCGACCAAACTTTTGGTCGCCAAACATAAAAAATAAATTTTTATATTTCATTCAGCAACTAAATTATTTTGGTTGCCAAAACTATCTATACAGCGACTAAAATATTTTTTAGTCGCTGAAATTAAATTTTTGCCGACCAAAATTTTTGTCGCCAAAGATAAACAATAAATTTTTATTTTCATTTAGCGACTAAATTATTTTGGTTGCCAAAACTATCTATACAGTGACTAAAATATTTTTTAGTCGCTGAAATTAAATTTTTGCCGACCAAACCTTTGGTCATCAAAGATAAACAGTAAATTTTTATTTTTCATTCAGCGATTAAATTATTTTAGTTGCCAAAACTATCTATACAGCGACTAAAATATTTTTCAGTCACTGAAATTACATTTTTCCCGACCAAAATTTTGGTCGCCAAAGATAAAAAGTAAATTTTTATTTTTCTTTCAGCGACTAAATTATTTTAGTTGCCAAAACTATCTATACAGTGACCAAAATATTTTCTAGTTGCTGAAATTAAATTTTTGCCAACCAAACTTTTGGTCGCCAAAGATAAAAAATAAATTTTTATTTTTCATTCAGCGACTAAATTATTTTGGTTGCCAAAACTATCTATACAACAACTAAAATATTTTTTAGTCGCTGAAATTAAATTTTTGACGACCAAAATTTTGGTCGCCAAAGATAAAAAGTAAATTTTTAATTTTCTTTCAGCGACTAAATTATTTTAGTTGCCAAAACTATCTATATAGCGACTAAAATATTTTTTTAGTCGCCAATTGTGAGATTTTTAGCGACTAAATTTTTTTTAGTCGCCAAAAATTAATATACCCCGACTAAAAAAATTTAGTACCTAAATATTGTACTTTTACCGACTAACATAATTTTTGGTGCCAATTCCCCAACTTTTGGCAACCAAAATATTTTTAGTCGACAAAAGTGGTCGCCAAAACTATATTTTCTTGTAGTGGGCTTGTCGCTCCTTGGTAGCATAAGCACTAGAGGCTTGCCCAAGTAGGCTTTAATTCCTTCGAAAGTAGCTTGATGCTCTGCTGTCCACACAAACTCCTCTTCATCTTTCAACTTTAACAAAGAAGAAAATATTTTAGTTTTCCCTGCAGTGTTAGAAATAAATCTTCGAAGAAAATTAACTTGATCAAGGAACTTTTGTAATTCTTTCTTACTTGATAGAGGTTTGGCCTCAATGATGGCTTTGGCTTTATTCTGATCAATCTGTATTCCCTTCTTGTGTACTACATACCCCAAGAAGTTTCCAACTGATACACCAAAAGCACATTTGAAAGGATTAAGCTTTAACTTGGACTTTCTCATTCTTTCAAAAGCTGCTACCAAGTAAACCAAGTGTTCCTCCATAGACTAGGACTTTACAACAATATCATCAATGTAACACTCTAGGTATCCTCCAACAAGAACATGAAAGATAGTATTCATTGCCCTCTGATATGTTGCCCCAGTATTCTTTAGACCAAATGGCATTTTTACCTATTCGAAGGTGCCAATATTTCTAGGACACCTAAATGCTGTCTTGTGGACATCCT